GGAATGGTATGGGTTTGAGAAAAAACATTCAGGCATCTGGGGGGTCGGGGTAGGAGAGACACTGAGAGCTAACTAAGGCACGGGGTGAGGGGGGAGGATGGGATCTGACAAAGCCCATCCCTCCAGGACCCAACAGTGCAGAGGAGGAGGAGGTTTGCAGGGGTCTGAAGACCTGGTGGCTGGGCTGTCACTGTTTACCCCATGCAGGTTAGGTGGTGGTGGGTGGGGGCAGGAGGCACAGGGAGCATGTTGTCAGGATTGGAGGACCTTCTGAGTGGGAGGTGAGGATATGAGGACAGGAGCAGAGACCTCCATTCCCAACCAAAGGGTTCTACGTATTTGGTGCACAATTTTTGTCAGAGCCATATGCCACCTGTACTATATTTCTTTAATATCTTTAATATTTTTAAATCTGACTGTGTTTTTCTTAAAAGAAAATACAATTTTAAAATTGAAGTATTTGGTATGTGATTTTGACTTGTATTTCCCTGGTGGTGAATGATGTTGAGCATATTTTCATGTGTTTATTAGCTATTTGCATATTCTTTTATATCTTCTTGAAGAAATACCTGTATAGATCCTATGCCCATTTCAATTGGATTGTCTTTATTATTGAGTTTTAAGAGTTCTTTATATCTTGTGGATACAAGTCACTTATCAGATATATGATTTGCAGTTATCATCGCCCATCATATGGGTGTCTTTTCACTTTCTTGATAATGTACTTTGGAACACAAAAGTTTTTAATTTTGATGAAGTCCGTTTTACTTATTTTTTTATTTTATTGCTGTTGCTTTTGCTGTTATATCTAAGAATCCTTTGCCAAAAACAAGGTTATAAAGATTTAGCACTATGTTTTCCTCTAAGAATTTTTTTAAAATATTTATTTATTTTGGCTGCACTGGGTCTTAGTTGTAGCATGTGGGATCTTTGTTGCAGCATACGGGATCTTTAGTTGTGGCATGTGGACTTCTTAGTTGCGGCATGCATGCAGGATCTAGTTCCTGGACCAGGGATCGAACCTGGGCCCCCCGCATTGGAAGCGCAGAGTCTTACCCACTGGACCGCCAGGGAAGTACCTTCCTCTAAGAATTTAATAGTCTTAGCTCTTACATTTATGTCTTTGATCCATTTTGAGTTCAATTTTACATATGGTGTGAGGTAGGGGACCAACTTTATTCTTTTGCATGTGGCTATCCAGTTGTCCTGTAAGAAGTGTTTAACAGCCACTTAATCCCTATCACATCTCCCAAGGAGTGATTCTTTATAGACAAGGAAACAAGGAGGCAAAGGTGGGTACCTGCTCTCTGCCTCTCGAGGAAATGGCAGAGCCAAACCTTTGATCCAGCTTCTAATCTTGGCCACAGCCAGCCCACAGAAGGGTTTCATTTGTGGGAAACATTTTAAATACATTGCATAAACTTACCAAAATTTAAAGTTTTCACTTCATAAAATGTGACCGAATTTTCAGCTTCTCACCAGAGATTGGGAATTCTGATCACATGGGGCCTGTATTTCCCCACAGTCAACTGATTCTGAGTCCCAGCTACCCCTTCAGACAGGTCACACATATTACTCATCACTTCCCGTGTCACCTCTTATAGGTTAAACCCTCGTAAGCTCTTACATGGGCTCACTTTAGTCACTTGTGAGCCTGCCCAGTCTCTCAAGGCCAGCGAGTTTCTGACCTCTACTGCACATTCCTCTTTTCAGGGAGGATGATAAGCCTTGCTTTGAATCTGAGGATTTCTTAGTGTGTCGGTTAGCTGTTGCTGCACAACAGACTATCCCAAATTTTAGTGGATTAGAACGGTAACCATTCCTTTGGCCCACAAATCTGCAAGTCAGCAGTTTAAACTGGTCTCTGTCGGCACCGGCACCTGTCTGGCATCAGTTGTAAGTCAGCTATGGTTGGCTTTAATCTTGCCTGGATACTTTCTCATGTCCTTGCCATACAGCCCACCCCCGCATGAGGCAGCCCAGTAGGTGCCCAGTGAAGCCTGACTTGCGTCGCTCAGAGCGTGCACTCTGGACGCTGGCCTGCTTGTCTTCACCCTCCCCTCTCCTCCTCCTTTTCCCGAGCGTGTTGATGAGGACAGTCCAGCTGATTGAGAGTGTGTGTGATGTTTCAGGAGCCGGTGACTTTCCGGGACGTAGCTGTGGACTTCACCCAGGAGGAGTGGGGGCAGCTGGGCCCTGCCCAGAGGACCCTGTACCGTGACGTGATGCTGGAGACCTTCGGGCACCTGCTCTCTGTGGGTGAGGCCCACCTCCCAAGCTGACGATCAGATTCCTGTGGTGGCTTATTCTTTGTGGGTTATGGGTCGTGGGGCCTCTGGTGTGAGGACTTGACCTGGGCTAGGGATCAGAGAGCTTGAATTCTCATTTCCTATGGGACATGCGGGTAGGAGGGTGTCTGCCCTTTTCTGTCTCAATGCAAAAACTTATGAGGTGCCCCCATGTCCTGACGGTCAGGAGTCTAGGGCTGGAGCCTGGGCTGGTTCTTTTTCTCCAGAGCGGGCTCCCACCTCCTTTGTCTTTCTCTGTTTCCAGGGCCTGAGCTTCCCAAACCCGAAGTCATCTCCCAGCTGGAGCAAGGGGCTGAGCTATGGCTGGCAGAGACAGGAATTGCCCAGGGCCGCTGTCCAGGTGAGAACCCGCCAAGTGGGAACCCCTAACAGGAGCAGTTGTGCTGCTTGGAAGGGGTGGTGTGTCGGGGTCCCCGAGAAAGGATACCTCTGTACCTCTGAAAGTCAGCAAAGGGAAGAGGCCAGTGGGGCCGAATCCAGAGGGGGCCAGACGCCAGCTTCAGAATCCCTCCCTGAACAGGCAGTGAGTTGTGACAACAGGGGAAAAGTGTTGGCTGCCAGGGAGGCTCACTATAGGCTCTGTGCCAGGGGGTTTATTGGGGGGCTGGTCACGTGGGCACCCCCTACCTGGCACAGACCAAGACTCCAGGCTCCCAGGAGAAAGCAGGTATTCACCCTAAACCATATTGTTGTCACAGAGTTTGGGCACAGTGAGCCTCTCTGACCAGTTAGGTTTGTGGCAACCCACCCCAAATCCAAGCTCCCAGACCCAGCCAAAGACCAGCCTTGAAAGCCGGCCCTCTTAGGATGGCAGCCTTGGGCCGACCCTGTAGCTCTTTTCTGCACAGACAGTCTGGGCCCTGTCCTCCCGTCCCCTGCCTGGGGCGCTCCCGGTGCTCTGAGGCCTCCTCACCTGTGCTCCCCATTCTCTGAGCTCAGAGACCTCCCGCCTGTCCTCGAGGGGTCAGAATGCACCATTTCTTCCCTCGCTCAGCAACCTTCCCAGCGTGCCGTTACCACAGGATCGTTTCTGATGTGTGAACTTGCCCTTCATCTTCTCCGTTGCATTCTTGCACGTCCACAGCCTGTAAACCTCTTCCCTACA